GTTAGAAACGCAATTTTAACAACCATGGTCTTAGGGCGGACAACCTTAGAGAGGGATCTGACCATTGATAAACCTCAGGAGAAGGTAGAGTCAGCGTAGCTGATCGTCAACTGGTGTTGTATGTGTAAGATGGATGAGAAGTCGGTGAACAATCTACTCTTGCATTGCCCAGTGACTAGGGACAGATAGGGCTTTATTCTTGCCTGCTTTGGTGTTTCTTTGGTCATGCCTCATTCTACAAACAGCATGCTTACAGCTTGAAGAGAAAGTACAATGGAAGCAAGTTCGAGATGCTTGGAAAATTGCTCCTCTTTGCTCGTGGTCAGGTATTTGGTAGAGAGAGTAATAGGAGATCTCTTGATGGGAAGGAGACTCCTACTTGGGCACTCAAATTCTCTATTCTTTCTATATTCTTATTTTTGTTAGTTGTTATGGTAAACGGTTGAAATTGTAAATTTGTAGAAGATATGATAATTTTAGGGATAGTTTGAGGATATAGCATATTGTTTTGGCTGTGAGCTTTCTATTTGGGTTATGCTCCCTTTTCAAGCGCTATTTTATGATATGTTACTTATAAATAATACTCCCTCCGTCCCAATATAAATGTCACTTTTGGGGAGTAGTAATTTTTAAGGGGACATGTGGGACATGCATTGTCCCCCTGGAAAATTACTAACTTGCCCTTTTTTTTAATATTCAAGTTTGAAATTTTAAATTCCAAGGACATATATGGAAATATGTGAAATATGTTGTTTGAAAAAGGAAAGTAGACAATTACTTTGGGACAACCCAAAAAGGAATGGTGGACAATTACTTTGGGACAACCCAAAAAGGAAAGATGGACACCTTTTTTTTGGGACAGAAAGAGTAAATAGATAAAGCATTAGCACTTCAATAATGGATAAAAAATGTAACTTCAACTAATATTTACATTGCCTTCTATTTATCAAAAATATATATATATTTACATTGCCTTCTATTTATCATATATATATATATATACATTGCCTTATGATTCAAAACTGAATGAATTAATACTTGTAAACTGCAACCTCAATATCATGCTCTCATATCATAACCATGACTTGAGTTCTGTACTCAGTCCAGGTTTGGTAGTAGACAATTAAGAATCCAAGTAAAAATGATTTTTATGAAGAAAAAAAAATCAGTAATATTATGCAACAACTATTGAACATACCAAATCTCTAAATAAATAGTATATATCTAGGAAACATGGGCACGCCTAAAAGGGCAAAGAATCCGTGTCGGAGAGTTTGAATACTACATTTATTGCTCTCATTCCGAAGGGGGGGGGGGGGGAGTTTGGAGGTTTGGGATTTTAGACCTATCAGTTTGGTGGGAAGCATTTACAAATTAATTGCCAAGGTCCTTGCTTTCAGATTGAGGAGGGTTTTGGATGGGTTCATTTCTGATTCTCAAAATGCCTTAGTGGGAGGTGTCAGATTTAAGACTCGTCCCTTATCGCTAGTGAGTGTGTGGACTCCAGAATGTGAGTGGGTTCCTGGTGGTTTCTGTAAGTTGGACATTGAGAAAGCATATGATCACATGAGTTGGAGCTTTTTTCTCTATTTGTTGGAGAGGATGAGAAATGGAGGAGATGGATAGAGTTATGTATTTCGAGTGCTCAATTCTCAGTTCTCGTGAATGGAGCTCTAATGGGTTTCTTTCCCAGTTCGAGGGGCTTGAGGTAGGGGGACCCGCTTTCTCCCTTTTTGTTCCTTATTGTGATGGAGGCTCTAAGTAGATTGTAGAGGAGGAATGTTGACTTGGGATTCCTGAGAGGCTTCGAGGTGGGTAAGGACACAAATAGTCAGCTCGAGATTTCTCACTTGATGTTTGCTGATGACACTTTAGCGTTTTGTGTTGCAGATGTGCCCCACTTCAGATATTTGATATTTATCCTGATTTGGTTCCAAGCTGTCTCGGGTCTGAATGTGAATGGAGGGAAGAGTGTTTTGGTGCTGGTTGGGGAGGTTCCTGAGATTGCTACGTTAGTTGATGTTCTTAGGCGCAGCATTGATTCCTTTCCTATTTCCTATTTGGGTTTACCCTTTGGTTCGCCTTGGAGGAGTGTGGGGAGATGGGATCCTATGGTGTGGTGGAAAGATTCGAGAGGAGGTTGGCGGGTTGGAAAAAGCAGTATCTTTCTAAGGGTGGAAGGGTTACTCTGATGAAGAGCACTCTTTCAAGCCTCCCTACATATTTACTCTCACTTTTCCAGAGTCCCTCCTCTGAGAGGATTAAGAGGTTGCAGAGGAATTTCCTATGAGGGGGCTTGGGGGAGGAGTTGAAGTATCATCTGGTTAGCTAGGAGAAGGTTTGCTGCCAGATCCGGGTTGGAGGTTTTGGAATCAGAAGATTGGTGCCATTCAATAAGGCTCTCCTCGGGAAGTGGTAGTGGAGATTTGGGGTAGATAGGCATAAGCTATGGAGGAGGGGTGATTGCGAGTCGATTTGGGGAGGGGAGAGGAGGGTGGACCTCCGTTGAGGTGCGTATTCCAGGGGGAGTTGGGGTTTGCAAATCCATTCGGATGGGGTGGGATGAATTTTCAGAACACATCAAATTTCGACTCAGGGATGGTAGGAGAATTCGTTTTGGGGAGGATGTTTGGTGCAGTGATCGTTCTCTTGATCTTACTTTTTCTTGGCTCTTCAGGATTGCCATGGATAGACATGCCATGGTGGTTGACTACTATCGCTTTGATAGTGGGAGATCGTTTTAGGATGTTCGTTTCACGAGGCACTTCCAAGACTGGGAGATTGAGGATGTCATTGGTTTTCTGGAGCTATTGTATCACCAAGAAATTGTGGGCGGCGTTTCTGATGATTGGGTGTGGGATCATGTTACTCAGGGCCGCTTTGATGTTCGGTCCTTCTATAGATGTCTCATGGAGGGGGCAGGGGTTCCTTTTCCATGGAAGGCTGTTTGGAGCTCAAAAGCCCCTTTAAAGGTGGCTTTCTTTGCATGGACCTCTGTTCTAGGGAAGATATTAAACAAAATAATTTGAAGAGAAAACAAGAAGTTGTGGTCAATTTTTGTTGCATGTGTCTTAGAAATGAGGAGACGGTGGACCACCTTCTTTTGCACTGCCATATGGCTAGGGATTGTTGGGACTTGATGCTAGGTTTGTTTGGGGTTCAGTGGGTTATTCCCAACACTACCAGAGGGTTAAGTGAGGCTTGGAGAGGTTTTACAGTGGGGCCAAACCTGGAATGTTTGGAGGGTTTCGCCTTTGTGCGTTTGGTGGTGTCTGTGGATTGAAAGAAATAGGAGATCTTTTGATGGAAAAGTGACTACTATCTCTGCGCTTAAGTTCTCCATTATTACTACTCTTTTTTGTTAGGTTGTAGGGAGAAATTATAGATCCTTAAAGAAGATTGTTGATTTTTTGGACTCTTTGAGAGTGTAGAGGCCCTATTTGGCCTTGTGTGGCTCTCTTGGGATGCCCTCCCCCTTTTGAGTGCTTTTTATACCATTTTTACTTATTAAAAAATAATAATAATACTTAAAAGTTGTTTTATAAAAAAGTGTTATATTAAACAATCAAATATATATGCTTATATTTTAGTTCAAAGGTTCAAACTCTTGCTCAATCATCTTTGACTCTCTCTTGTTCTCCCACCAACCAAGCTTCGCTCTCAGTGGATGCTCTCTCTCTCTCTCTCCTCTTTTCTCTCTTCTTCTTTCTCCTCCTCTATTCTTTCTTTCTTCTTCTTTTTTTTTTTTTTTTTTGATAATTAAGCAAATTCAATAAAAGGCATTCAAAAGGGGAACGTGTCCCATAAACAACAAAAGGATCCTATGGACCCAAGGAAGAAATAAAGTCAGTTATCTCCTCTAGGGAGGAACAATGCCTGCCCAAACCCCAAACGCATAAAGATGTAATAAAAGTTGACTTAAGAACAACAATCGAGGATTCCTCTCCTTCAAAGGATCTATTTTTCTGCTCCCTCCACAGACACCACCATAAGCATAACGGCGCCGTCCTCCAAAACCCACAAGCATGACCTCCCACAAAGCATCCTCTCCAAGCCTCCTTCAGTCCTCTCGCAGATCTAGGCATCACCCACGAAACCCGAAACATGCCTAACAAAAGATACCAACAGTCAAAAGCCACTAGACAGTGCAAAAGAAGATGATCCACCGATTCTCCACCTATTCTTTCTTTCTTCTTATTCAACACAAACCCTAGATACTTCACTCTTTCCTTTCACAACAAAATTATTTTTGCATCTCTTTTTCCTTTTTCCTCTTCTTTCCATGAACTTTTTCTCTTCTATGAATTCTCACTAAGCCCTAATTCTGTTTTTAACAAAACCCCTATCCTCTTTATTTCTTTGTTTTTCTCTTTCTTCTTTCTATCATTCATTCTTTTCCCAGCAAAACACAATTTTTTTTTTTTCATTATTAGACTGATAAAAAAATTATACTACTCTTAATTTCTTGAAGTACATATTGTATTTATTATTTGTAGTGTCCGTGTCCTAATTTTTTAGGATTTGCCGTGACCGTGTCTTTTCGAATCCGTGTCCCGTAACCGTTTCCGTGCCTCTTAGGTATTTATGATACCTAGAGATAAGATTTACATATTTCCTCCCTCCATATTTTTCTTTTTCTTTTTCTTTTTCTTTATTTTTATCTCTTTTAGTATGAGATGCCAATCTATAGGATGCTCCCACCCAAATTCAAAATTGGATTTTTCTCAAATGACAAATAATAAAAAATAAAAAATTGTGCAACATATTATGAGGATAATGCAAATGAACAGAGTAGTACAGGTTAAAACAATGAAAACATACAACTGCATCAGGTTCTAAGCTCATAAGTACAGGTTAAAACAATGAAAATATACAGCTGCATCAGGCTCTAAACTCGTAAGGTATAAATAGAGCTTTTAAATCATGTAACTTATACTAAAATTATCATTCGAATGAAAAGTAATGAAAAATGAGGGCACATGCACCATAAACACACTTACCTGGGCCTTCACCGTGGATTGCATTACCAGATACATTAGTAGAAAAGGCATTACCAGCTGCATTAGTAGAAAAGGCATAACTCTCAACATTGGTTGCATCATTAACTGCATCAGTACGACTCGTAAACCATCGCCGGCTGTCGCAAGTGTTCCTCATCATCATTTGCGGCTAAAAATACAAAAATTCAGTCAGCCAAATTTGATGACAGATGAAGATGCAATTTTCATTTTAATTTGAACTCCTACAGAAGATCCAAATTCAAGTTCAAACCAAATTTAAAGGTAAACCAAAAGTCTTCAACAACAATAGGAATATATATATATATATATATATATATATATATATATATATATATATATATATATGCTACATGAAGAACGTAGCAAAGGGCAATCTTATTCAATCCAAATAATCAGTTTGATCAAGTCGGGATCATCATCTTTTTTTTATAAGTTTGGAATCATGATCATTCAAGGGCGGATTCAGGATTTCTCGTTGGGGTGGGCTAATATTAAACATAAATTTAATAACAAAATTTCTTATGCTAAAAAAAAAAAAAAAATTATAACATAATATAGATAAATATTTGAATTCAATGATATATTAAAGTTTTATTCATTTGGTTTCACCACATTACATTTTGCATGCTGGTTGGGGCCTTTATTTTAGTATGGTGGCCGAGTTGACTTGGGCTTCATTGAGTGGGCTAATTTTGGGGTGGGCTAATACTATTAATTTTTTTCTTTTTTTTGGGCTGGGCTAACATTAGTATAGTAAAAAAAAAAAAAAAAAATTTCGGGTGGGCAGGCTAATACTATTAATTTTTTTCTTTTTTTTGGGCTGGGCTAACATTAGTATAGTAAAAAAAAAAAAAAAATTTTTTTTTTTTCGGGTGGGCTACAGCCCACCTTTGCCTACCCGTGTAGGCCTTTGTGATCATTATCCTTCTCTTTATCCCATATAAATGGAATCGAGCATATCTATTCTCTTATTTCATTCTTTACTATTGAAATTCTTTTCTCCCATTATATTTAATTTTTGAATGGTGTCTAATTATCTCACATCGAGCATAAGCTCAAACAGTTTATAAAACTTATATATTGTTAATTTCATTCAAGCTGCCTCAACAATACAAAGGTGAGCCTTATTTATAGCCTAATCTGAACTTGCTCACTAAGGAAAGGAATGCAACTTGCATTCACTTTCATAATGACGTGGACCCCACTTTCTCACATGTCACCTTACTCACTAAGCAAAACAATGCAAGTTGCACTTACTATAATGATGCCCTCACGTGTCACTTCCTTGCTCACTAAGTAAAGAATGCAACTTGCAACCTCCTTCCTCACTAAGTAAATGCGACTAGCACTCACTTTCATAATGACACTCTCACGTGTCACGTTGCTCACTAAGTAAAAGAATACAGCTTGCACATTTTTATTTACCCATATAGTGATTATTATATATATTATATATCAAATCATGGATGCCCTGCATCAGACTCCTCCGCTTTAGAAAAACTCGTCCTCGAGTTAAGCTGAAAATAAAGCTGTTCACTAGGCAGGTGACACTAGACTAAATCAGCAGAAGGTAGGAGAAAGGACCATGCCCTCAGGAAGGTCGAATGCATAGGCATGTCCCTCTTTCGTCTTGAAAGCACACTTGTCTCCATAATCATCACGGATTTGATGATAATAAATCAAGTTAATATTCGAAAAGAATTTTGAGGCAACCACCATATCAATCTTATCATCAAAACATGGTATAGGAACCAACTCTTCAACTTGCCTCTGCAACACTTCATTCTCGACTGGGTTCATGCAGTATTGTTGCACGTTTGGTAAACTCATGCCAAGAACCAAATCTTTGTGATGTTGAATTTCTCGCATGGGTGATAAACCAACTGGTAACTCGTCTGAGATCAACTACTGTTATTCAGCTCATAAAGGTTGCACTGGATCCAAAACGAGGTGACTCTTTGCTCTTAACAATGATTGTCATATCATCGGATTCCTTTACTCCCTCTTCAAACTATGCCTCATCTCCAGCAAGAAAACAATGCCCCTCCACTTTAGAAGCTTTGGGCAGTTCTTCTTCGGTTGGATTCTGAATTTTATCATGTTCTACCACTCGCAATCTTCCAATATATCTCTCTATATGTTGGTTTACCGACTTTAAGAGATTATTGCATTCATTCAAGCAGTAGTACTCATCAATATAGTGGTTAATAGGTGTAAGTACCTTTGCATGCAATTTTGATATTGGTGGTGCGAGATCTCTTCATACTCTTGTGGGAGAAATCTGGCCATCAATAATTTCTTCATCTTGTGCCACATTTGGGCAGGTTGCTTTCTGAGCCATCTCCGGTGTCTTTGACTTTGTTCCCAGCGGGCCACCAGGATGTAGCACCTCCTTGAAGCTTGTATTGTACAAGCTTAACCTACTTGTCTTCGGGTATCTCCATATACTCGAAAAAACGCTCAACATCGTTCAGCCAGTCTGAAAAATCCTCAATATGAAGATATCTACTGAAACTGGGAAGATCAATCTTCATGTAACAATCATGAGTGTTCAGATATGTTTGGTTTTTGTCTGGCCTAGCTCGGTCACACCAATCCATCCCGAATCTTCCTAACTCCTCATTATCGGAATAATTCGCATAGGCTGGAGGCCTCCGTGGATTTACACCCATGTTCAGTTGACCGCGAGAAAAATCTCTAGCACGAACCCGAACAGGATCACGAACCTGGTTGCCACAAATCCCAAGACTAGCTATTTATCTAAACTGTTTTTCTTAAGTATGAATGACTGCCTTTGCGATCTTCTTCGGCAAAGCGGTTGCTGCCGAAACAATCATTCAACATCAAACCAGGGTAAATCAAGGCTCTGATACCACCTCACGTAACGGAAGCAGGAAAAGAGATATATATCTCACACCGAGCTCAAGCTCAAACAGATTATAAAACTGATATATTGTTAATTTCATTCAAGCTGCCTCAACAATACAAAGGTGAGCCTTATTTATGGCCTAATCTGAACTTCTTCACTGAGGAAAGGAACGTAACTTTCATTCACTTTCATAATGACGCGGACCCCACTTTCTCACGTCACCTTACTCTCTAAGTAAAACAATGCAAGTTGCACTAACTATAATGATGCCCTCACATGTCACCTCCTTGCTCACTAAGTAAAGAATGTAACTTGCAACCTCCTTACTCACTAAGTAAATGCAACTTGCACTCACTTTCATAATGACACTCTCACATGTCACCATGCTCACTAAGTAAAAGAATACAACTTGCACCTTTTCATTTACCCATATATAGATTATTATATATTATATATTAAATCATTCATGTCATGCATCTTTATTCTATCCCATATTGGTTATCCTATTTTTCTTAAAACTAATCTTATATTTCTTAACAAGTGTATCCACGGGTCTAAATTATACATGTCTAGACCACTTAAGTTGGCCTTCCTTATAATTTATTAGCAACAAGTGTAACTCTTGATTATGTCACACGTTAATCATTTACCATATTACTTCTAATTACTCGTATCATCTCTTTAAGCATTCTTATTTCTGCCGCACAAATGTGTTTCATACTTCTCATCTAGCTAAGCATTCTTATTTCACCTACACAAATGCATTTCATACTTCTCATCTAGCTAAGCATTCTTATTTCACCTACACAAATGCATTTCATACATCTCTTTTATAACCTGGCAAGCCTGCTCCCTTAGTTGGCAACTTCATCTTAATATAATCAGACCCCAAATTATTTGATTATACATCTGCTCGCATCACTTGTTGTAATTAGGGGTGCACAAAAAATCAGTGGAACCGGTGAATCGATCCGAACTGAACCAGACCGTATGGTTCAATCTAGTTTTGTTATGATTTGGACTGGTCCAATTCCAAAAACAGAGAACCGCTAACTCACAATTCAGTTCTGGTTTGGGGTCCAATGTCCATTAGGATTGAACTGTTAATGATATATATATATATGATGTTGTGGCTTTTTGCTTAATCATATAATTTCTTCACATTTATTAAGTTTGTTCATAGTTTTTTAATACATGCACCCAACAGAGATTTTGCCACTATTTTACATCATTTGAGTCTCAATCTCACGCTTGCTGAAAGAGAAGTGAAAGTAGGAGATGAATTGACAAAATCTCTGGGAGGTATGGAATCACATGTTAGAATGGTGGCACAGGTTCCTACTACTAAAGTCCAGAACTGTGGATATAACCGGACCAAACTGATCTCTTATGGTTCTGTTTGATTTTACAGTTGCTATGGCCCGCTTCTGGTTCTGGTTCTAATTTTCTAGGAACTGTTGGGATAAGTTTGGTTCTCATTTAACCCAGGGATGGTACCGAACCGTGTGCACCGCTAGTTGTACTATACACTCAACCTTTTTTTGGAGAAGTGAACCAAGAAAAGGCCCCAACATAGAGGTGAAAGTCAGTAAATGGAATTGAAAAATTAGCCTAATGCTGCATAAAGTTTACTTGGGTTTCTATGTAGTGAGTGAAAATAATCTTATCTACCAGTTTATCAACCACTATTTTTAAAATCAATGGAAGTGTTCTACCAAAGAAAAACAGCCAAGGGAGCACTGTCAGTGTCACTAAGTGGGCTCTCGATTTTTCGTACTTCCTAATTGTTATCCATCATCTCATGAGTTTGTTTTTGAAAACACGAGAGAGAGAGAGAGAGAGAGAAGAAGGGGGGGGGGGAATTTGTGAAGGAGGGTTTCTGATGTTATTTGTTAACCTTGCATGAAGATCCTGTATGGAAGTGCCCCTAGCTATTTCTACCAAAAGCTCACTCCGGATGCTTCATATTCCACCTATAACAACAGTATTCATTATAAGTGATGGAGAATACCAGAAATACACAAGAAAGTGGTCTACATGGCACATAATCTTGTTCAATGGAACTGACAAATTAATTGAATAATTACTATGGGGTTCATAATAAAAGGTTCCTGACAAACAATCTAGCCTGATGCTACAATTCCCCTTCCAGAAATGTTGAGCTTAATTGAAATACTGCAAAAATAAACCACCTATTCTGCTATAATCTCCAATATTTAAAAAGAACATGAAGCAAAAACAGAAGTAAGGTAATTGACATGTAAAAATAGGCAGAGACTACAAATCATAGTTTCCTATTACGCCCATGAATCCCACCGCTGGCAAAATTCCATCTTTTACGAATCAATGTCTCCCAGAAACTAATGGCTCCCTCATATGGATTAGTCCTTAGAAGTATTCAGAAGGAGAGGACTCCTCTAGTTAATTTACTCTATATGAAAATAGGACCTCACGGCAAAAAGAGCTCCCTCTGTCATTGTAACCTTCAATGCCTCTTTCCTTCAGAAAAATGTAAACACAGCATATCATCACCTCCTTACAGGGGCACGCTATAAACCAAGTCTAGTTCAAATGAACAACTTTTCAAATGAGCTTGAGTTTGCAACAATCTCGGAAGGCGATAGAGACGGGCTTGAAATGCCGTTTGGGAAAGATGAGGAGTTGGCGGCTCTAAGAAGCTGTGATGGGGATAAAGCTACAGGGCCGGAGGGGTTTACTTTAGCTTTCTTTCATCAGAATTAGGAGGTGGTGAAGGCTGAGGTGATGGGGGCATTGGATTCTTTTTTTCTGCATGGTTCTTTTGAGAAGAGCCTCAACGCTTCCTTCATCACTCTTATTCCCAAAGAGGGTGGAGCATGTGAGGCGAAGGACTTAGTGTTGTTGGGGTGGTGTATAAAATTATTGCAAAAGTCTTCAGTTGTGGAGAGTTCTCGAAGGGGTGATTTCAAACTCCCAGAATGCTTTTGTTGGAGGGCGTCAAATTCTGGATTCAATTTTGATTGCTAGTGAATGCATTGAGGCTAGGGAGAGAAGTGGTATTCCGGGGGTTGTTTGCAAGCTGAATATCGAAAAGGCTTATGATCATATTTGCTGGAATTTTTTGATGTACCTGAGGGAGAGAATGGGCTTTGGGCAAAAGTGGAGGTCGTGGATTTTTTTCTGTATTTCGACTGCTCGATTCTCTGTTTTAGTGAATGGATCCCCAGCTGGTTTTTTTGCTAGTTCTCTTGGATTGAGGCAGGGGGGCCCTCTTTCCCCATTCTTATTTATTATCGTCATGGAGGCCTTTAGCCGTCTGATGGGGGGGCGGGTGATCTTGGGTTCATTCATGGATTCTCGGTGGGTAGAGCTCCAAATCAGTTGGTCATCTCCCACCTTCTTTTTGTGAATGACACCATTGTCTTTTGTGATGCTATCCACCTTCAGTTGAGGTATTTACGGTGCGTACTGGCCTGCTTCCAAGTTGTTTCAGGGTTGAAGATTAACACTGTGAAAAGAGAGATTGTACCAGTTGAGGAGGTGGATGATATTCATGCCTTGGCATACTCTTGGGTGTGGTGTTGGCTCTTTTCCGATCTCCTACGTGGGACTCCCTTTGGGAGCCTCATCAAGGAGAGTTTCTGTGTGGGATCCGATTGTTGAGCGGTTTGGGAAGAGGCTTGCAAGTTGGAAAAAGCAATACTTGTCCGGGGGGGGGGGGGGTTACACTTATGAAAGGCACACTTCAAATCTTCCGACCTACTATATGTCGCTATTTCCGATGCCTAAGACAGTTGTTCGAAGACTTAATAATATTCAAAGGAAGTTTCTGTGGGGGGTGTAGGAGGTGAGTTCAAGTACCACTTGGTTAACTGGGAGAGGGTGTGCTCTCCAATTAATAAAGGGGGTTTGGGGATTCGAAGGCTAGATGTGTTTAATAAGGCATTGTTGGGCAAGTGGTTGTGGAGGTTCGGGAGAGAAAGGTTCAAGCTTTGGAGGCGTGTTATAGCTTGTCATTACGGGGAGGGCGATAAAGGGTGGATTTCTAGGAAGGCTAGGAGCCTAGAACCCCAGCAGGTATGGGCTCTTGGAAACTTATCCGTAGAGGTTGGGATGAATTCTCCAAACGTATTCGGTTCAAAGTTAGAAGCGGGAGTAATTTCAAGTTTTGGGAAAACAAATGGTGTGGGGATTCGGATTTAGCCAGTAGATTCTCTCGCATTTCCCGGATTGCTATGGCTAGAGATGCAGTGGTCGCTAACTATTATCGACTCGATAATGGGAAGGTGACTTGGGATGTGTAGTTCCACAGACAGTTTCACGATTAGGAACTTTTGGAGGTTACAGACTTCCTAGCATTCATCTATAAACAAGTGGTGGTCAGGGTGGGCAAGGACGAGATGTTGTGGGTGGGTACCCGGAGAGGAGTGTTCAAGGTCAATTTTTTCTACAAATGCATGTTGGAGCGCCCTGGCCTTATGTTTCCTTGGAAAGCCATTTGGAGGACAAAAGCTCCTCTGAAGGTGGCATTCTTCTTGTGGACTGTCGCTTTGGGAAGTATCCTTACTATTGATAACCTTAGAAAAAGAAGTCATATTGTGGTTGACATGTGTTACATGTGCAAGAAGATGGGGGAATCTGTCAACCATCTCCTTATTCATTGCTCAGTAGCTAGGGATGTTTGGGCTACGTTTTGGGTTGCGTTTGGTCTTCCATGGGTGTTCCCAGAATCCACGGTCGACTTTTTAAAGACTTAGAAAGGATGGACAATGGAAAGTCAAGTCAGAGATGCTTGGAGGGCCACTCCCCATTGTATTTGGTAGTGTCTGTGGCGCGAAAGAAATAGGAGATTCTTTAAAGGAGAGGAGTCTTCCATTTGGGCTATTAAATACAATATTCTTACTTCTTTATTTTTTTGCGTATATGGGCGGGATTGTAATTCAATGGATAGTCTTTTGAATTTTGTGGATAGCTTAAAGCTATAGAGCCGATTGTGGGTCCGCCGTTGTCTTCTTTGGGATCGCTCCCCTTTTGAGGGCCTTTCATAAAACCTTACTTATCCAAAAAAAAGTTCCTTTTGGGTTTTGAATTTGAAAAAGGAGTTGGAATTGGGATTAGATAGGAATTAAAATGAAATTCCATTTGTATGTTTCGAACAATTGGATTCGAAAGAAAGAAATTCAGTTTTTAGTTTGGATGTAAGATGGGATTCGAAGTGAAAATATTATTATATATAGATATAAAATTGTAAAATGAGTATATAAAAAAAATGAACTTAACTTCTCAAAATGTTCTAAACTAGAAATTTGTCTGATTGCTCGTAAATATCTTTAAAATATGTTTTTTAATAATTCTAGAACCAATTTTATAATATAAATAAGAGTAGGCGCAAATTCATTGAGGGTGATATAATGGTTTAGTGTTTAAACTTGAGTGCAGTTGGAAGATGTGATGGAATGGAATATAGAGATAAAAGAAAAACTACAGGGTAGGAAGACATTAGACATACGGAAAGTACTCGAGAGTCTATATAAACTAGTGGTTTGCATGGATTTGGTGCTTTGGAATTAATTAAAGAAAAATTAGTTCAAAATATTAAATTTTTCTTCTCCAATCTACCCGGTATTTGAAATCCCATCAATTGTAGTCCCAAATTGATAAAGCAAATTCTTTTATAAAAATAAAAAATAAAAAAACCTATTAGTTACAAGCACAACTTAAATATCCGATTCTACTAAAGTAATACTTACTTTCAAGCTAAACGCAATGTCCTTGAGCTCCGTTACGATATTTCCCATCTTGTAGAGGCTCTGAGGAAGATCGATGTTGCCGTAGTAACTCACTCGATACTCCTCCACGGACAGAGGATCATCATCCACCTCTTCCAAGGCATTCAGAGAGTTGTCTGCAACCAACAGTTTCAGCCCTTGCTTCCGGGTCACCGGCATGTCCATCCTAGCATATTTCTCGTCGTCGTTCAACACCTTGCGGGGGAATGTTGACCCGTCTTTCATAAATCGATTGAATGCTATGTTTTTCTTACCTTCGGCATGAGGAAGTTGTTTTGAACGTAAGTCCGAATCCGAATTGTTAGTTGGAATATCTGATTGGGAATTGGAGTTGATGGGAGCGAATGTGCGGAGGGAACAAACAGCCATTCGAGAGAGGAGCTTCGAGTAGATTGTGTTGAGAGCTCTTAATGCCATTGTTGCATCTAGGGTTTTTCGGTGTGAGAGGGAGTAGCTTAATGCCATTGTTGCATCTAGGGTTTTTGGGTGTGAGAGAAAATGGGTATAGAGAGCTTCTGTTTCAAGTTTTTGGGTGTGAGAGAGATGGGAAGGGTGTAGGTTTTCCTTTTCTTTTTTGGTTGGGTGGGAGGCATACAAAACTCCAACGTGCCTTGTGTGTTACAAACGCCGGCCTTCCCTTCTCTGTTTTTTTTTTCTCCCTAAAATTGTTAGAAATTTACAAGAGAAAATAAATGAGAGAATATCTATAATTTATATTCATGTTTAGATAAGTAAGAGCGAAAAGAAAAAATTTGACAATATTATTGTTTGGCTAACGCAAATGAGAGAAAAGAAGGAAACGGATAATAATGAAATTATCATCTTACCGGGGTTAATAGGGCAAATCATTTCAGCCTCCCCAACCGCCTCCATCTCTCTCAATTCTCGTTCTCACAAATCTGAACTCCCCCTCTCTCTCTGTGCAACTGTAAACTACAAAATCTACAAGAATCAGAAGATCAAAACCCATATATTTCAGTTTATCTATCTGTCTCCAAGTATATCAAAACCCATACCGGCCTCCATCTCTCTCAATTCTCGTTCTCACAAATCTGAACTTGCCCTCTCTCTCTCTCTCCCCAACTGTAAATTACAAAATCTACAAGAATCAGAAGATTAAAACCTATATATTTCAGTTTATCTATCTGTCTTCAAATATATCAAAACCCATATCGGCATATCATTTCAGATTGTTCCAAAAATCAAAACCCATATCTTTTTGTTTCCCTCACCCGCTGTTCCAGTTCAGGTTCGCCGTTCGCAAGCTTCCGCCGCTGTCTCACAACTCTCAAGCTTGCCCCCCTCTCTCTCTCCAACTGCTAACTTGTATGTATTGGTTTTGTTTTAATTTTTGTTCAACTAATTAAGGTCTGTAATTCTTGTTTTGCAAACTAATCAACTATTCTTTGAACCAAAAAAAAAAAACTAATCAACTTGTAATTCTTGTTTTTCAACTAATCAAGGTCTGTAATCAAGGTCTCTCTCTGCAACTGCCAATTTGTAGAACAGCTTGTGGTCATCAGCATCCATGGAGGGATACTTTTGTCATTAGCTCCCTTTCTCTCCAAATCCTTCCATATCTTGTCAATTTTGGAGGGATTCCAAATGAGTAATTTGGAGGGATAAATATTCCTCCAAATCCTTCTCAATCCTTTCTTTCCTTTTCAAATCATCCAATTCAAACACAATACTCCTTATCCTTTCCTTTCTTTTCTTTCCAAATCCCCCCAAATCTTCCCATCCAAATGAAGCCAAATTAGGGTGGGAAGTCGAGCGAGTTGTAAGTATAACTTCGCCTAACCTGTGCCGCCCCTTCCCCATTTTTTTTCTCGAAAATTGTTAGACCCGATAGATTTAAATTAGGCTGCAACTCAAACAGATTGGAGGCATACCTTTCGCCCAACTCAATATATAAAATGTTCAATCGAGTCCAATCCTGACCCTACATTCAACCCGATCTTAACATTAACTCTATATTCAACCCTAACTATTAAACCCGAGTCCATCTCAATTTTTTTTTTTTTTTTAACTCGGGTTTACAATTCGGGCTTAGATTTCGGGTTAGAAAGTCGGACTAATTCGGGTTACTTATATGACCAATCTCCACGGTGCAAATTTAATGTGAGCTTGGATTACTTTATGATTAAATTACTCTTAAAAAAAGTTTTAAAAACTTATTGCAAATTTATAAATAAATTACCAACAAACTCTTAGAAAATTAATTCTACTAAATGTTAACATAAAATAAATTAAGATTTAACAAAGGAAGTTAAAAAGAAAAAAGGTGATCGTAATTTGAACATTATATATAATGCATTTCAAATAAAAATATGTATAGAAAAAAAATAGAATTCGGTTTCAGGTTCGACCCAAGTTTATAGCATATCAATCCAAGCTCAACCCTAATTAAGTTCGGGTTGAAAATTTTTAACCCAAACCCAAACTTAATCATAAAAATGATTGTCTAAGCCTGTGAAAAATCTAGCTGGGCTTGGGTGGGTTCAGGTTACCCAACCCAAGTTGCACCCGTATTTTAAATATATAATCCATAATCTCTTATGCTGCGATTTTAGGGCCAATTTGGCACAATGGAAATAAAAGGGAAAAAATAATAATGGTAATAAAGATGATAAATTGTTTCTAGTATGAAATGTTGGAAAGAAAAAAAATGATTCAGTGGATTGCAATAAGGCATGAATAGTAACTTTTTGTTATCATTTCAAAATGGAATGAAACACAAATATTTCTAATGAAACTTTGTTAATATCAAATTTGTCATTATTTTTATAAAATAAAATAAAATCTATAAAAATGGTATAGTTGTAATTCAATAAAATGGTTTCCTTTCATTTCCTTCCACAAATATGATTATTATTATGTTGCATTTGTTTTGCAGGAATGGAATGAAATGCAAGTAGGAATGTAATGAGTATGGGAATATAATGGAATAGTCATTCTAATTCTATTGTTTGGTTGCAAATATGAAATGTATATGAATAATCATTCTAGTGTTTGGTTAGACAAATTTAAAATTTAGACTATAATGAATTGAATTATCCAAAATACCCCTCTTAATGACAATAAATTAAGTTAACAAAATAACATTCTTTTATTATTATTATAAAAGAAATGGTGGTGGTGTTGGATGGTGGTGAAGATGATGGTGGAGGTGGAAAATATATGGTAGTGGTATAGGTGGTGGTTTGGAAGGCGGCGGGTGGTCGCAATGGTGGAAGATGGCGGCGGACGACAGTTGTGATGACCTTGTCATCTTTTTCTTTTTTTTTTTTCTTTTTTTTGCATTTATCTTATTTTTATTTTATTTATTTTGTCTTCAGGACATGTCGGCCCAAGATCGAGTCAAGTGATCAAGGATAATTCCAGACACTTTATTCATTCCATACTTGCATGTTTTACCCTCATATCATCATGGATGTATATTGCACTTGTTTACACTTTTGACTTTATTGCTTGGGGGTATTTGTGTAATTATCTTTTGCATATATTTTTATTTGGGGCAAGAGTGCGATTATGTTTTGAAAATATTTCCATTTTGGATTTTAGAGACGTCACTTTGCAATTTTGGGATTCTTTTAGAATATTTGTTATCCATCTTCTTTATTCTTCTTCCCCATTTCGTTTCTTTCGCTATCTCTTTCCTCTTTTTCCTCCATTTTTGCTTCTTTTTTTTTTATGCCTTCTCTCTTTGTGTTGCCTTGCTTCCTAATGTGTGTGAAATTTCTAATTATAAAATTACCACTCGTAATAAAATGAATCATTTGTAAGATAGGGCTACTTAGAGGGTGTTGAACCTTAGGGACTCTGGTGGATTCTCAACCCTTCAATTAATACTATTTTATATAGATAAGAAGATTGTTTGATTTGGTGTGTGTCACTGGCATAAATAAAATTAAACTAAATAAAGGAATAAGATCAGAGAGAGAAGATTTTAGGGATTGACTTCACCACAAACCTCATATTATGGTCAACTATTCAACCTTGGCATTTCAACACTTATGTATAATATGGAATTAAACTCAATAACATTTGTTTAATTCAGATTTAATTAAAATGTTTCATGAATTTCAATTAATAATAACCTATCTTCAGTTGGCACGAATTATCTACCTACTTAGTTCTAACTAATGATATAGTATAACTCGTCTTCCCTGTGCATAAACTATAAAAATATTCATTAATGAAAACGTTTGAACACTGTTGCATGATCTCTATTCTTATTATCCGAGAAGCCCTTAGCCACCAATCTCGTACGCTAAGAATAGGTTGAATATAATTAATGAACAATTAAATCTAAGACAAGGTATTAATCATTCAAAAATCATGTACTTTATTAAAAACCAATTGATCTAAGTCAATTGCCCATAATCATGTAATCAAAATACATAAAGAGTTAAATTCCCAAATTATAGAACAATCAAACCATAATATTCAGATTCGGGTTACATCAATGCCCTAAGAGGAGATTTAGCAACTCATGACGACGCAAGATATCATCTGTGTTGTTGTGGTCTTCATCATCATGGACTGCACTTCTCTTTTAAGGATCTTCACCTTCAATGCTTCAGAACAACTTCTAAAAACCCTAAAAGCCGCCAGAATAATGAAAACTAAAACTAGAGAACAAAAGATAATTTTTGTGGCCTTATGCATCCTTTTATATAAGCAACTGACTTATAACAAGGAGTGGATGGTCTTTAGGTCTTCTGGGGTCATCTAAGCTCGTTTGGGACGAATTAGGACTCAATATAATTAATCCCGCAACTTTAAAGTATGTCTTAACATCAAAGGCTCGAGTAGAGCTTGCTAGCTTCTGCTCGAACCTTTTGGCATGTGCTCGAGCCTTTTGACTTATACTTGAGTAGGAATTCCATACTTAGCCAGTATTCTTCAAATAATTTCTGAAGCGTCTTTTTTATCAACACTTAGAAAATTTTTGGATAATTTATTCACGGTGCTCGATCACCTTGACTTGGTGCTTGAGCTTTGGGACTTCTACTCAAGCTTTTTGAATTATGCTCGAGCTTTTTGGTTTCTGCTCGAGGTCTGGCAACATGGATCTTCCGAAGCGTCTTTTCATATTCGGATGGAGTTTGTGCTCGATCCCTTTTTGCAAAGGCTCGAGTGATGAGTTCACATTTTATACATTCTTTATCCCCAAATTTATTTTAGTTAGTATTTTATTTTTATTTATTTTAATTAATTAGTTGATTTTTATATTTATTTGTTTTATTTGTAATGTTCACCAAAAAGAAGAAATATAGATAAGTTATAGAAAGAAATTGGTGAACAATAGGAAATGTGGCTGCAGAGCACAAGAGTATACATATATTTTTAGCCAACATTCTATACAAGGAGTAGCCTAGCAAAGATGGTTAAGTCCTTAGCTAATTCAACTAGAGGTCTATGGTTCAATCCCTCTAAGATTTTATGCAAAATATATACAAATATTTTGGTTAACATCTCAGTCAGCGCCTCGTCATCTGTCCACATCAGTGCCATATCATCACGTGGGCCAGACACCTACCACCTCATCATCGACCCCGTCATGTCATCGTCCAAGTCCCGCCTTGCCATGTCACTGGTCTGCCTCCGCCACTTCAGATCAGAACATATA